TTCTCCCCTCCCTCCCCCCTCCCTCCCTCTCTCCCCCTTCCTCCCCCTCCTTGGTACTTCTCGGGTGTTCTGTCCTCAACACCAGGGTAATGGGACTCAGGACTCCTAGGGACTCAGAATCAAGGGGTCCTTGGAGCCTCTGGGGTCAATACCGCTGAGCTCCCTACCAGGTACGATGGCTCCCGAAGGCCACCCCGGGGACCTGGGTGCCATGTGCAGGACCAGCCCTCTTTCCCATCTGCCCAATTCCCCCCCCCCCCCCCCGTGGGCCTCCTCCCCTCTACTGAGGGCCACTTCAGGGACTTGCCCTCTTCTGAAACGGGGCCACCTCCTCCATCTCTTAAGAGTGACCTGACTCCACCTGCGAGGTCTCAGTCAACCAATGTCCTACCAATGGCCTCTGAGCTCCCCGGACGCTTTGCTCACAGCCTGGGTTTCCTCTGATCTGGCCTCTGACCTCCAGTGTGAGCTGACTGTCCCCTGGGTTCCCTGAGATGGTCCTGGAAGGAATCCAGCCCCTCCCACCCCGAAGCTGTATCACAGCCAAGGTGGGTCACCCTTGTTCAACCCAAGGGCCAAGCTTGCGTCAGGACCTGCCTAAGAATGAGACCCTCCAAGATGGGCTTGGTGACGCACGCCTGTCATCCCAGCGGCTCAGGAGGCTGAGGCAGGAGGATCGAAAGTGGAGGCCAGCCTCAGCAACTTAGCCAGGCCCTGAGCAACTCAGCGAGACCCTGTCTCTAAATAAAATAGAAAAAGGGCTGGGGATGGGGGTTCAGGGGTGAAGCGCCCCTGGGCTCCATCCCTGGGACCAAAAAAATGCAGCTACGTGGTTGAGTGAGGTCCCTCGCCAGCCCCAAGTGAGACCTTTCAGCACTGGGGGTGGCTCTGCCCGGAGGAAGGGCTGGGATTGCTGGGGCCACCTCAGAGACAGGCTGGACTGAACAGGCGAGATCAGCGTCAGAGACTGCAAAGAAGGTTCTAGAAAAGGTCTGGAGTGACACTGGAGTGGCCAGGGAGGGCGGGAGGAGCCCCCGAGTGCTGGAGAACTCTGGCCCTGATCTGCAGTCTGAATCTGCTACGGAGGCGAGACCTCAGATGGGGTAGAAGAGGAGCCGGGGGTCCGGGTGGTACTCACGCCATTGGAGACGTCCCAGCTGAGCATCGCTCTTGCTTTCTGCTCGGCCTCTGGGGTCCCATCCAGCACAAGGCCGAAGCCCCCATTGATCACCTCTCCCCTGCAAGAGGCCGAGGGGTTCTGAGGTCACTCCCTGGACCTGGCCGCACAGGGAGCAGGCAGAAATGTGTGTTTCCAAAAGCGCTGGCTTCTGGTGTCAGGGTAGGGGGAACCCATGTCACTCGGGGCTCTGGAGCATGCAGACCAGGGGACAGAGGGCCATCAGGTACCAGAGAGGCAGAGCTGGGGGGCAGAGTGGCCACATCCTGGCCTCTGAGCTGGACCAGGAGGCCCTGAGGTCATCTCCAGTGAGATGCCTCACCCCTGAGCCCCCGTCCCCAGCCCTTTTTATATTTTATTTAGAGACAGGGTCTCACTGAGCTGCTTAGGGCCTCGTTAGGTTGCTGAGGCTGGCCTCCAACTTGCTATCCTCCTGCCTCAGCCTCCCAAGCCACTGGGATGACAGTGGCTCACTTGGTGTCACCTCCTGCTTGAAGTCAGCAGGACCACCCAGTTGGGAGGCAGCCCCTCTCCTTCAGGCTCGACCTCTTCCCCTGCAGACTCAGCCTGGCAAACCCAAGACTGTGAGGGCAGGCTCCCAGGAAGGAGGCAGCTCTTTTGGGCTCCCGAGGCTCTGCAGCCCATGTGCTGAGGGGACCTGAGCTCAGGTCCTATCTTCCATTATTTAAAGCCACCTGACCCGGCCACAGCTCAGAATTCCATCTTCCCTGGGCAGGCGGCCAACCAGCCCTCTGCAATGCTCAGGGAAACTCCATTTTTGCAGGACTCAGCCCAGGAGGACGGGGGATGGCTTGATCCCGCCAAATCAGGCTCAGAGGGCAATTCAGAAATGGCCCCAGGAGCTGAGCCTGGGTGGCTGCTCTGGGCCCTGAAGCCACAGCGCCCCCTGCTGCTCAGAGCAGGTGCAAATCCTGCCGGGCGGTAGGACTGGGGCAAGGCGGACCCCAGATGCTCCCTGCCGCCCAAATCCACGCAGGCGCAGTTCATCAACCTCCCAGCGCCTCGAGGCTACGTTCCTTCTTCCAGGCGCCTGCCATCCCAGCGGCTTGGGAGGCTGAGGCAGGAGGATGGCAAGTTGGAGGCCAGCCTCAGCCACTTAGGGAGGCCCTAAGCAAGAGATTGAACCCAGAGGCGCTGAACCCCTGAGCCCCGTCCCCCAGCCCTATTTTGTATTTTATTTAGAGACAGGATCTTGCTGAGTTGCTTAGGGGCCTTGCTAAGCGGCTGAGGCTGGCCTCCAACTTGCCATCCTCCTACCTCAGCCTCCCAAGCTGCTGAGATGACAGACGTGTGCACCACCACGTCTGGCTTTGGGTATATCATGCTTTCAAGAGAGGCTCTCAGAGGACACAGGAAGATCCTAGACGCTGACCTGGAAAGGGTGGTTGCTGTTCTTATTGGGCACTTACAACAGACCTTCACGTCCTAGGTGACAAGTGTGACCCAAAGAAGTGGAGTCCCCTGTGCAGATTTCCCCCTGATAACGCTATCCCAGCAGCCTCCAGCCCATCCTCTGACCCCTTCTTACCAGCCCACGCCCCCTCCGTTGTGAAGCGCGACCCAGGTAGCTCCACGACAGGCGTCTCCTACGAAATTCTGCACGGCCATGTCTGCAGAAGCAGGGACAGCACACGTCACTCTGTCCACCAGACCCCATGTCCCTCTGTCCAGTAGGCCTGAGCGCAGGCCAGGCTCAGGATGCAAGAACATGGTGACAGCTGGGCCAGTGGGAACCAGGGACCGGTGGCTCCGGGAACAGCCATGATTTGTGCTGGCAGAGCCCCCTGAGCAGGAGGCACCAACAAAGATCCAGAGTCTCCTACGATTCTCCTCCCTAGTCCTGAGCCCCAGAGCCCGCAGCTCGAAGAGAACCAGCCGCAGAACCCAGAGACATCTTAACCGTGGAGACCCAGAGTCAAGGAGCCTCGCCCCTTCCCTTAAAAGAGGATGAGGGGAGCCAGGCGCAGTGACGCACGCCTGTCCTCCCAGCAGCTCGGGAGGCTGAGGCAGGAGGATCGCAAGTTGGAGGCCAGCCTCAGCACATAGCGAGGCCCTGAGCAGCTCAGCGAATCCCTCTCTCTCAATAAAATAGAAAAAGGGTTGGGGACGGGGGTCAGGGGTGTGGGGCGCATGATCTCCAACTGAGCATGCTCAGAAGGGCGCCCCCTCTGAATGTGGACAGGTCTTTGAATTTGCATGAGGTTCCCTGATCAATCAAAGTCCCTGGATTTTTCTTTTTCTTTTCTTTCTTTTTTTTTGGGGGGGGTCCTACAGGGGAATTGAGCCCAGGAGCGCTACCACCAAGCGACGTCCCAGCCCTTCTCCTTTTGAGACAGGTTCTCCCTGAGTGGCGGAGGCTGGCCTCCAACTTGTGATCCTCCTGCCTCAGCCTCCCGAGCCGCTGGGAGGCCAGGCGTGTACAGCTGCGTGATTGTGTGTGTGTGTGTGTGGGGGGTCCTCACCTGCACAGAAGGCAGAGCCGTCGTAAATGTTGGAGGTCTCCCTAAACGGGCTGTCAGTGCCACTGACGTCGTGGTGGTCACGGCTGAGAACCACGGGTGCCTGGGGCAAAGGGAGGTGCAGGACGTGAGCCACCAGACGCAGAGGGCAAGGGTCGGGCTGTTCCAGAAGGCGGGGGGGGGGGAGGACCCCCTGGACGGCAGGGCCTCACCTTGACCTTCCCGCTGGCGATGGCCTGATTAATGGCCACAGCGATGGCCACGCGGCCCTTCTGGTCCGAGTAGAGAATCCGTGCCTGGGAGCCCACCACCTGCAGGAGGATCAGGAGAGACCCTTCAGCAAGAGGCAGGACCTGGGGGCGAGCTGGTGTCACCAAGCCACCGTCCCCAGCACCCTGGAGGCCCCTCTGATCCCTAGACAAGGCCCCTGGCGTGTGGCCTGAGGGGACCCCAGATGGCCCTCCGAGGTGCGCGGCAGACTGGGGCGCACCCTCCCCTCAGCCCCTGGCCACCGCGTGTCCCCGTGAGGTCTGAGCTGCCCAGGGGTGAGCCCTGGATCTTGGAGACTCTGAGAGCCCGACTTCCCCGCGCTCCAGGGAGGTGACATTATGGGATTAACCTCCCCCCTGCGATCCTTTCTTTCTTTTTCTTTTTCTCTTTTTTTTGGTCCCAGGGATTGAACCCAGGGTCACTTAGCCACTGAGCCCCGTCCCCAGCCCTATTTTGTATTTTATTTAGAGACAGGGTCTCCCTGAGTTGCTTAGGGCCTCACTAAGTGGCTGAGGCTGGCCTCCAACTGGCGATCCTCCTGCCTCAGCCTCCTGAGCCGCTGGGATGATAGGCTCTTTTTGATCCCCGCCCCCCAGGAACTTCCTATTTTTGAGGGTGACAGTTGATCTGCTGCCAGGGGCTCTGGCATGGTCACATGTGGTCCTGTGTCTGTGCCCTGTGAATGCTCATGGAAGCAGAGCCCCAACTCAGCCTCCCCCAGGACCCTCCAGTCCTCCCCTGGGAGCCCCGAGGGACACCCTCACCAGGTGGTGCTTGGCCGCCTCGCGGATCCAGCGGACATTGTCCATATATTGTAGTTTCACAGACTCCGTCGTTGCTGTAGAGAGGAAGTGGGGTGTCGTGGGCAGAGGGCGCCCCTGCCAGAGTCCTGGGCCCTCTTGGTCCAGGCTGCTTGCTACAGACGCCTGCTCTAACTCTGTCCCCAAATCCAGGAGTCGGGGCCAACCGTACCCTGGAACCTCCGACACGGTAAACCTTTTTGTCTACCGCGCTGATTTTCTCAGGCCTTTTGTCACAGTACTGCAAAGCTAACCAATGCACTGGCTTCCTGTTAATTCCACCCGGAGGATCCTGACCCGCACAGCGGAGGACATCTCCTGGGGACAGTGTGCACGTAGGGCCGACCTCCCCCCCAGGACATTACCTCCCTCAGCGATGGCCTTCTCCAGCACAGATGTGGCTAGCTGATCCGTGACAGCTAGGTCCTCGGGGTCCCCGGATGTGCAGACCCAGCGGAAAGGCCCGAATCCCTGGGAAAATATGTCCCTGCAGGGACAAATGTCTCTTCAATGGGGGGGTTTCCCAGGCTGATGGCACTTCTGGCCAGGGCCAGGGGTGTGATCCGGGGTCACGCCATCCAGAGGGACTAGACGGAACAAGGACAAGCAGAATTCGTCTCAAACTGCCATGGGTGATTTTGGTCCAAAAAATTCCACGTGGTTGTTGTAAAATGATGGGAAAACCCATCACCAGGTGCGTGAGCCGAGAAAAGAGCCCACGTGGGCTCGGGTGCTTGCCAGGCTGGGTGGGGGCACCTTCCCTGGGGACTGTCCCCCTGCATTCCTCCCCAGGCTGAGCCCACCTTTCTGTTTTAAAAAATATTTTCTAGCCGGACAGGGTGACCCACATCTGTCATCCCAGGGGCTCGGGAGGCTGAGGCAGGAGGATCGCAAATTGGAGGCCAGCCTCAGAAGTCTGTGACAAGGACAAGGACTGAGCACAGTTCAGCGCTCAGCCCTGGGAGAAGACTCCGCCAGGCCACCTGGGGCTGCCTGTGCCTGTGGTGACCTCTCACCAGGGCCACGAATTCCCACATTTGTCCCCAACAGCACCACAGAGGCCCACTTAGGGGACAGGCTCTTGGAGTCTCCGGGGATCAGAGGAAGGGACCTCAGTGTCCTGCCCCTTGGTGCCCGCCTGTCTCCTCACCAGGTCCTGACAGGTTCCTTGTCATCGTGGGAACCCTGTGACCCGGTACCTGGCTGCTTTGGGGTTGCGTGAGGGTCACAGCACATGACCTTGAGGGTGGTCGGTTGGACCCAAACGCCACGTCCCAGGCCCTGAAAGGGACTGGGGTGACATTGGATACCCTGGAACTGGTGGCCACCCCGTCACTTACCCCATAATGTGCTGGACATAGGAGGGGTAGCGAAATTCCATCTTATTGGCCCCTTTCTTCTCCACATCTGCTCCTACGGACAGAATACCCGCCCCCGGGGTGAGCACTCACATGGCCACCACATGGTGACATCAACAAGGGGCCCAGGGGGAAAGGCTGGGGAAGGATCATCAACGTGATTCTTTTTTTAAAAAAATAAGTCTATCTACAAATACAGCCAATAAACCCTATGTTTCCATATAACTATAATGCACTAATTAAAAATAATAATAATAATAGCAGGCTGAGGTCGCGCACGCCTGTCATCCCAACAGCTCAGGAGGCCGAGGCAGGAGGATCGCGAGTTGGAGGCCAGCCTCAGCCACTTCGCGAGGCTCTGAGCCACTCAGCGAGACCCTGTCTCTAAATAAAATAGAAAAAGGGCTGGGGACGGGGCTCAGTGGGTAAGCGCCCCTGGGTTTAATCCCTGGTTAATAATAATAATAAATAATAATAATAATAATAATAATAATAGGGAAAGGGAGGCCTCCAGAGCTGCTGGGATGACAGGCGGGCGCCACCTAGCGGGCCCCCCGTGCATCTTCGAGCACCTTTGGACCCTCTGCTCTGCGCACAGGGATCTCGTGTCTTAGAAAGAAGTTTGCATCTTGAAGGAGGGAAATTGCAGAGTTGGGGACAGAAGCTCATCCTGAGTGTCCCACCTGCTCTCTGACCAGCAGTTAATGTTCTTTAACTACGTGGAGAAACTGAGGCCCAGAGAGGCCCAGCTGCCCACCTGGGAGGACCAGCTTCTGGGAGAAAGGCCTCGGGTAGAGGCTCAGGGGAGACTCCTGGGGCGCTGGCTGGGTGGCAGGAGGGGACCCTCCCGGCCCTGCCCTCTGGCCTACCTGCTCGCTGAGCCTCTAGGAGGAAGGCGTTGCCATAGTCCCAAAAGAAGAAGTTCTCCTGGGCCAGACGGTTGATGGCCGAGACGTGCCTCCTCAGGCTGCAAGGGAGGGGGCCTTGGCTCCACCCCGTGTCCCCGCCCTCCAGGCCCCGCCCACCGAGCCCTCGGGGTCCTTCCAGGGTCCACGCCCTGCAAGATGCCAACGCCCCCAAACCTCCCCCGACCCGATGCATGAGCTGGGGTGTCCCCGTTGTCTGTCTAAACCCTCCTCACTCAGGTGACAGCCCCCAAGCAAATACCTCCTGGTCCCCAAGCTCATAGGGGACCAGAATTAGCACTACTGTAGCTGGACATTGGGCGGGGATTTTGCAAAAAAAATTTTTTTCTGGTCCCAGGAATGAAACCCAGGGGTGCTTAACCCCTGAGCTCCGTCCTCAGCCCTTTTTATATTTTATTTAGAGGCAGGGTCTCCCCGAGTTGCTTTTGCTGAGGCTGGCCTCCAACTTGAGATCCTCCTGCCTCAGCCTCCCCAGCTGGCCTCCAACTCGCGATCCTCCTGCCTCAGCCTCCCCAGCTGCTGGAATGACAGGCGTGCGCCACCGCGCCCGGCTGCAAATCTTTTCTTTGGTCCCCCAAGCATTCCCGGAGTTAGGGTGAGCCCGTGACCCCATCTGGCTGACAGGAGGCAGAGACTCAGGGAGGTTAAAGTCCTGCCCAGTGTCCTGCAGCTGGCCACTGCTGAACCAGGGGACAGCCTTTCATAGTGGGTGGAGGGGGTGGGTTGTCCCTGCCCGAAGGTCTAGCCGTCCCCCTACCCTCAGCAGCCCTGGGCCTCCCCCACCTCTCCTGGACCAAGCCTTTGAACTCAGCAGGGTTGGAGGCCATGAGACTCTGAGCCTCTGTGAAGCCCAGCTGCACCGGGTAGTAGCCGCCGTTGAAGGGGTTGTGGCAAGACGTCTGGTCCGAACCTAGGTCCACCAGGAGCTCCCCTGTGGTGTCCAGTTCATGGACCAGGCGCTCCCTGGGGGAAGGGGTGGGTGGTCAGCGCAGGGCGGGTGTGGCTCCCAGCCTCGGGGATTGGAGGCCGGGTTGGAGGCCAGGTTGGAGGCCGTCCAGAGAAAGTTGCACCCCGGTTCCCACCCATGCACCCCGCCAGCAGAGCCCACCATCCCCTGGTGGGGACCAGTGGGAAGGCTGCTGGGGACTTGGGAGAGGACGGGGACCATCCGTCTTGCAAATATCTGATCGGCCGAGGGCCGCTGGCAGGATTGGGTGCGGAGGATTTCTATGGAGGAGTCCCTGAGGGTGCCCAGTCCGCCCCTCGCTCACCAGAGATCCACCACGTTGCCATGGTAACCGAGGCTGAGCACCTCCTTCTTTTTTCTCGCTTCCCTAGAAGGACCCCAGAGCAGATGGCAAAACCGAGCGGCCCACAGCTGCCCCCCAACAAACTCGCACACCTCCCCTGGGACTCTGTCCTCTGTTCAGATCACACAGTGTATATATATGGAACCCCTGAGCCCCGTCCCCAGCCCTTTTTCTATTTTATTTAGAGACAGGGTCTCGCTGAGTGGCTTAGGTCCTCAGCTAAATTGTTGAGGCTGGCCTCCGACTGGCGATCCTCCTGCCTCAGCCTCCCGTCTCTGGGATGACAGGTGTGCACAACTCTTTACTGAGGGTGTACGCTAGACAGAGAGAAGCCTCTGGCAGCCAGACACCTCCTCTTCCTCCAGAGGGCGCTGTGGCGCACACCTGTCATTCCAGCAACTGGGGAGGCTGAGGCAGGAGGATCGCAAGTGTGAGGCCAGCCTCAGCAATTTAGAAAGATCCTGCCTCTAAATTAAAAAGGGCTGGGATGTGGCTCCGTGGTAGAGCGCCCCTGGGTCCCCTCCATGGTACTGCCAATAGATAAATATCCCTCCCATGATGTGCCACCTGTGGCCGGTCCCCAGGCCACCCAAAGCAGCCCAGCCTCCTGCAGCTTCTCACCTGAGCCTCTGGATGCACTGGTCCAAGCTGTCAGTCACTTCCATTAGCCAGCCTTGCTGGTGACGTTTGACAAGAGCTGCTTTATCAACCTGGCGCCGTGAGACACAAGGCCACTCGATGACAGCTCCCTCTGGACGGCCTCCAACCCGGCCTCCAATCCCCAAGACACACCACCCTCCACTCAGAAGGTGCCCTCGCCCATGCCGACCACTTGCTCCTGTAACAGGCTCAGGTGACACAGCGAGGTCCCTGCATACTGTTCCTTCTCCTGCCTCCCTTCCCAGCAGAGCCCAGCTTCTGTACAGGGTGACCCCACACAGCCCCGGGGACAATCCCACCCGCGGTAATCACAGAACGCTAGCCACCGGTCCCCTCCTGCTTCCTGTGTAAGAACATCTGTGTGATCCACCACCGACCAAGGAGAAAGAAGAAGGGGTTTCAGCCGGGCACCGTGGCTCGGGAGGCTGAGGCAGAAGGATCGTAAGTTCAAAGCCAGCCTCAGCAACAGCGAGGCCCTGAGCAACTTAGGGAGACCCTGTCTCTAAATAAAACGCAAAATAGGGCTGGGGAGGGGGCTCAGGGGTCGAGGGCCCCTGAGTTTAGTCCCTGGTACAAAAAAAGAAAAAAAAAAGGAGGAGGAGGGGGAGGAGGAGGAGGAGGAGGAGCAGGAGGAGGAGCAGGAGGAGGAGAAGGAGATGGAGGAGAAGGAGGAGGAGGAGGGGGAGGATCAGGAGGAGGAGGAGGAGGAGGAGGAGGAGGAGGAGGAGG